CAACATTATCATCATACAACATTATCATATACAACATTATCATCATACTACATTATCATCATACAACATTATCATCATACAACATTATCATCATACAACATTACCATATACAACATTATCATCATACTACATTATCATCATACAACATTAGCATCATACAACATTATCATCATACAACATTATCATCATATATCATTTTATATACAACATTATCATGTGAGCTGTCTGCCACACAGCATAATCATCTGAACATGAACTGTAATCCTAGTAAAGAATGCAGATTTTTCTCGGATAGAGTAATGTACTTACAGTTGGAACTGCCAGTAATCCTTTAACTCTTAAATTTGAATAATAAAAGATGCATGGAAAGAAAAATCTGTTATTTATGAGCTGCCGGTCATTTAGGATTTCGACATTGCGTGACCGGCAGTCCGCCGTCAGTTGGTTGAGATTTTTCTCGAATAGAGAAATGTCTCTACAGTACCATGAAAGTTTCAGAAATGTCGATTATGTTGTTTTAACTTTTTAAATAGAAATAGAAAAGACAAATCTGTTATTTTGTGAGCTGCCGGTCATTTAGGATTTTGATGTTGTGTTACCGGCAGTCCGCCGTGTTGGTTGAGATTTTTCTCGAAAGAAAAATGCCTCTACAGTACCATGAAAGTTTCAGAAATGTTGATTATGTTGTTTTAACTCTTTAAATAAGAATAATAAAAGAGCAATCTGTTATTTTATGGGCTGCCGGCCATTTAGGATTTCGTTGTTGCGTGGCCGGCAGTCGGTTCAAGTCTCTAAGTCCAACGAAATTCGGCGCGACGTTTATGTAAGTTTTAACACGCTCATTTTAGTCATAGAGTTTTATTTTGGAGTTTGGAAGCTCGTTTAGATAATAAGAGAGGGAAAAAACACATTTTATGGGCTGCCGGCCATTTAGCATTTTCAAGACCTTGACCGGTAACCGGCCATATAGACACAGCGAATTAATAAAATGCAAAAGTTTTTCACTGTATGAAAATGATGTTTTTTGCTCAATGAGTAAAAATCTTCTTCACTTAATTCAATTGAGGAAAGTGCATTGGACTTCCTCTACCTACTCCTGTATGTCCTGTATTTGCTCATCTAGCAAAAGTCATCATTTATAGAATAATTATACATCAATAGCAAGATAGTCAACTTTAGATATTTTGATTCGATGACTATGTACAAAAGAACGCACACGAGACTCCGAGAAAACAATGGATAATCTTGATTTATTCTTTTATTTCCCCGGAGCCTCGTCTGCAATTCGTTTGTACATGGTCACTAAACCAAAATATCTTAAGTCGGCTATTGGTAGCCTAGTGTAGCTTTGACCATTTCAGATCATGATTCTGCCATTAAGGTTGCTAGGATTCTTTATTTTCCTCAGTTGAAAACTGTTGTAGCGCATGTATTAGGGGTGGACCATCAAAATGTTAGAGCTTGGAAGTAATCCAGTTTCGAATTCTCCAATGCTCTGTGTTAGCCTCGTTACATTTGTGCGCAAAATATTCCTAATTGTGAGAATAAAAGTATGAGATTTCAAATGAATTCTATTGTGTTTCTTTTCAAATTCCATGCGTTTTCTCGGCCTATCAAGGAAACAAAAGAATATGTTGGTTTTGAGGCTAGCACAGAGCAAACCAGAACTCGAAATTGGAGTATTCTCATCCATCAGTCTGATGGCTTTTAAGTCAAAACAGTAACTTGTTTCAGAACTGATGAACAAAGGCATGACAATAGGCACGCCGTTTTGCGTCGGGTCTGTCTGAGCGTGAAACATATCTGAAAGGGAAAGAAGAGTTCTCGTAACCAGCTTAGAACGATCCGGTCTTAAAGAAAGTACAACTTTTATCGATAGTAGTAGTAGAGTTCTAGAAAGTGTAGGGGAAGATTGTCAATTCTGGTGTCTCCTTTCGAACCGCGAGAGATTCCGCGAGAATTTTGAAAGCGAGAGACGACCCATATAAGGAAAGGACTGAACTATAGGGTGAAGATTGTCGCAAATTGATAATGAACGTTTATAAGATAGTTATATTACTAGTATTTCTTTTGAAAAGCTCATTTTTATCGCCGTTACAAGTTTTAAGAATATTTAGAACAAAATAAAAAGGAGATTTTTTTGCTTTTAGTTTTCAATGGGACGTTGTCCTTGATCTATAGCACGATATTCTTATAAGGGATTCATTTTCTGACAGGCTTTTTGTTTCAATTCGCACACTTCATTTAGCTTGCGTTCGGACAAAATAGAGTTATATTGTTGTGACGAAGAACCACTCAAACTTGGAAAGCAAATTTAATGGATTTCTCATATGAGCAACCGTACTGTGCTTAAAACTAAATGAACGATGATAACGATCAACAAAGATAATGATTTATTAGAGTTTTAAGGTCGTTTCTTATGTAATAGATGAAACTTGGGTATTTTTTAAAATAACGACGTAAAAAAGAAACGAGAAGTGGATTAAAAAACACGAGGCGTAGCCGATTTCGGTTTTTAAAGAGAAATTTAATTTGTTTATTGGTGCTTCAAGGTACTGACACAGCAGTGAAATTATGAATTTCACAAATTCAGGAATTACCTGTTGAGAAGATTGTACTTTCTGTATGACTGTTTCTGGAAGTTGTTCTTTGCTACCGGCTAGAAAGTCAATTTTATAATAAGTAAACGCAAACTGACTGTAAATAGGTTAAAAGTAGATCATGGCAAACTAGTACTGTTGTTGGTCTCAACTAGGAGAAGGTAAAAATAAATATAGAATAAATAAAAAACAAATTTTCAGTGAAGTCATTGATCTTTTTGTTATAAGTTGGGAAAAACTAGCCTGCTATGGAGGCTATAAAAAAATATGGAGACTCATTTCTTTTCACACCTGTTAGTTTTCTCCTGAGAAAAATCGTTCCGCGGAAAAATTAGCTATAGATTCTGGTGAAGATAGATTTGACAATGATAAAATATGTGGTTGGTCCTCCAGGGGTCACAAAGGTACTGCAGTGCAAAATATAGTACCGTCCGCTATAGCAGCAATGTCATGGGGACTTTTGAATGTAGTTGTGAAAAACTCATGATTATTAGCCACTGATGATGGGGGATGGTGCCTTTTAAATCTTGACCAGCAGAGGCCGTTCGCTCGCCTTACCCTTAGTGGTTTGCCAACAGGAATTCCCGTTGTTATTTAGTCTTTTTTTCCCTGTTTATTATCCCATGTACATGAATCCGAGCATGCGCAAGGTCACTGTAGAAGCATTGCCCCAGCTACAAATTTTCTCGCGCGCAACATATCCATCGAGTTCGCTAAACTGAGTAGACATTGATTGCATTATCCTGTTTACATTTTGATTCATTAGCATATCATTAGCATTCACTTTTCATGATTTCACCTGATTAACATCAAATCGGCACTTGAATAGCATTTGAGCAAAATAAGCTTTACTCGAAAATTAGAGCTTCTCAATTGAAATGTTTTATTAAATTCTGAATATTATACATGAATCCAAAATCTATTTTATTTAAAAACCTAGGGCATAACCCCTATAAAACTAAAGTATATGTTTCAGAAATATATAGAAGGTGTGTAAAAACCTTACAAAACCCAATGAAAAAGCCATAGATATATTACAGAGCCGAGAATATCTGATTGGGGGTATAAGAAGCCCAATCACTGACGTGCAAAATTAATAACTTGAAAAATTTATCTCTACGGATTTTTATTGGAGCTTACTAGGATTTCACACAGCTTCTATGTGAAACATATGCTTTAAAGGGTAAATTTGGTCAGTTCGAAAAAAAATAGATTTGTGCATTTGTGCAACGGACATTTTGAAGAAAAGTCAGTTTTTAAACTTTATGCTAATGAGCAATAGAGTTGCTTTCATACACCTGTGAAACTAGGTGTATTAAATTGTAAATCAGTTCAAGTTTTTATGCTTAAATCCAGGTTAAAAAAGAAATGTTTGTTCCGGCTAACATCATCTAACTTTGTCTGGCGACCTCTTTGTCGCGGACAAATATCAAACAAATTGTTGGATTTCCAAAATCAATGTCTGCTATATCATCCACCATATTTAATGCCCTATCCAACAATCCTACGCCCTAATATAAGGATAACCTAACCAAACGGTAAAAATGTTAGTGCTCCGGGTGGCGATCTTAACTTACAGTAGATGTTAAATTAAATAAGTTAATTAAAATTTCTATTGATAGTGTTGTTTACCTTTAAGTCTGCTTGGCTTAACTATAACAACTCGACTGTTGAGCTATGTTTTTTTTTCTATGTTAGCGCGAAGTTTGTGTACCTTTCAACAAGTTATGTAGTTAAAAAAGGTAATTTTTGTATTATAGGGTAATTACACAATTTTAATGAAGTCCCATGAAACGAGATCATTTAATAATCAGAACTGATCGAAAATGTATGATCTCTGAACTTCAAAGCAAACTAGTAAGAAAACACCAGATGTGTCAGGTTCTTATTTACTTCTCCAACGTTGTCCAGCGATGTAAAATGATGCCCTAATACAGAAACAATATTACGATGAAGTTCCGGGGCTCCAGTCACGCGTACAGTCACTTGTAAGGAGTCTTTCACGATCACGTTGTACCCTTCAAGCTCCTTGAAGTTTCAGAGGGTTTGATAGCGTGATAACAAACAAAAATAAGGGCCGCCCGGACAATAATATAATTATGCTGGTTGACTATTGTTCGAAGACCYCTTTGCGTTTTTTCGTTTCACCCAAATTTGTCAAATTTGTGAATAAAATTACGTCAATTACGTGAAAACGTTTTTTTATCTTAMGTCATAATACTAAATATTCGTTTAGTAAAGTATTTGCATTAGTTACTACTTCACACGTTATCTAATGCAGTTATGATAACAAGATGCTAAAATGCCAATTGTTTTCATTTTACAGGATTTCATCACGCTATGGTTTCTGTTGACTGAGCTTTATGTACACATGACTGTACAATTGAATTATTAATCTACGACAAAGGTGTGCTATTGTGCACGTTTTGTATATTTTTTCGCGAGTTTTAGTGTTTTTAATAACTTTTTAGTTTTATATTATATAGCTTGTGACCTTCACTTACATGCAGTACAGTTAAAAATCGAACTACGTAAGTAACAAGGGCACTTACGTAGTTTGATTTTTAACTTAAAAACCGGAATTTATTATCTGTCAACAATGTTCCGGAAATGTGCTTAAGAAAAACTTGAGTAGACTTTCCACAACTAACTGCCGAACTTTGGATTTGGAAATATTAATTTAAATTTTATTCCCCTTTTATTTCCATTTTTTGTTGTTGCTGGGTTTTTTTCACTTTCACTCCAAATAAAATATCGTGTGATATGTAGCTACCCGAAACGGTATATTGTGGCAAAACCGAGTTTGTAAACAGTTTTCATTTCTGTTGAAGTGAACTGTGAACGATGACATAACTCGACTACGTCAATGCTATAACTAAAAAATACCATTGAATACCAGACCTAACCATTTCTAGTTCGTTTTCTTTTCATGTTAATTTTCCTTCCTATCTGAATTATAAACACGTGTCAAGTTGATAAAGACCAATGCCTTTTCTTTCAAATACTGGAAAATTGATCACTCTAGCTTTCTAACGGAAAAAAATGCAAGTTACTTGTTCGAGAAATTCCAAACTACTTCCTTTCTTTGCGATGATGTACATCGAACTTTTCCGCTATACTCCTCATGAAAAACAGTTACACAACATCCATTGTATTCCCTTTTGTTTTATTTGAATTGTTTTTGAGTATTTTTATATGTACTTTTCTTTTTTTTCAAATACTAGAACTAAATGCTTGGATGTTTCCATCTACAGTCATCCACGATATATTATCATAAAATGTGGATACAAAATGATAAACTTATAAAAGTGTTTTCTCTGTCCTGGTCTTAAGTATCCCATACTTAAGACCAACCTAAATATTTACAATATTTACAGGCATAGCAAAAGTCTATGGACCTTTTACTGAATTAATAAATACAGCACTAACTAGATACTTCATGGTGGTAAGTTCATCTAAGGTTTGATGCCTTAGAAAGAAGGTATTAAACCTGCAAACGTCAATGTTTTCTTTATACATGTACGTTTCTGTACAGGTGTAATGTCTTCGCTTCTTACTCATTTAGGAATATCTCCTTACCAAAATTTGATTATCAAATTATTATTATCAGTTCAAAATATTATCACTAGAAGAAACCATTATGTTCATGTTGCCTTTTTTTGCTTGGTATTGTCAATATTTTTTCCTATGTACAGTGTGCCATTGGCTCCTTGTAAAAGAGAGTATTCACTGCTGGACAGTGGACGGCCATGTTCATCTGTGAAACTATTGAACACACTTGCCTCAAGTTCATTTACTTTTGATTTAAGAGCAGCTGTTTCTTCTAAAATAGCTCTTCGTTCATTAAGAACTTTTTGCTTTTCAAGTCTGAGTTTTTTAAGCTCATCTTCAAGATCATCTATGACTTCAAGTTTACGCTTGCGACATACTCGAGCAGCTTCCTTATTTTTTCCTCTTCTTCTGACATCCCTAACATACTTTGCTTGATCTTCTGTTAGGCTTTCAAGAAGTATGTTGAATTCCTCTACTGCCATGTCAATAATAGCATCATCGGATATGTCAACTGGTGATTCAGACTCCATAGATTTTTCCTTGATAACAGCCAGTTTMTTGGCTGCTGGAACCTTCTTTTTTCCAGATTTGATTGTTTTCTTTTTAGACACAGCCACATTGGAAGTACTAGGAATATTTGTCAGTTTTTTGGGGTTATCCAGTGGTGTGACTGTTGTGAGAGCTGTTGTAAAAAAGAAAAATACAAATAAGCATGTTTTAAGATAATCTTTTAGGCCTAAGCAGAGATGTGATAGTTCAGCATAAATCCACTAAAAACTCAATAAAGTCATCAGTAGAAACTTGGTGTCATTCTTGGAAATTATTGCAGCTCATCACTTTTGTTTTCCATTTTGCTTTCTTTTATTAGATGACTATAGGAAATTGGCTATCTAGTTGAGAAGCCATTTTGAATTAGAGTGGTGCTAAAGATAACATTCCAGGGGTTTGTTATGCAAAGTTGGATAGTGATATCCAACAGTGGAAAACTTTATTCGCCTTTTGTGTAACTAGAGCTCCACTGAATTAATATGAGTGTCAACGCCCATAACATTTTGTGTACAGATTCAAATTTATGTGTGCTTAGTCTATGTGAGTTTTTGCCAAAAAAATGAAAGCTTCATTTAACAAACTGTATTAAACAAAACATCTTGAAAATAGCAAAACAATATAAGCACTTACCACTTGGATATCCACCACTCCCATTTCTTGATTGAGAGGAACCCTGCAAAAGATTCTCAAGCTGACTTTCAATATTGTTGGATGCATCACCATTTTGTTCAGTTGTCAGGATATCTGATGGCAGATTGAAATCCAATGTAGCCAATTCATCAAAGTTTATCATGGATTCTAAGTCATTGTCAAATGGATACTGAAATGAATTGTTTGTAAAAGTTTGCCCAAAGTCAACAGAAAGAGGGTCAAAGTCCTTTGATTCCAAACCCAGCTCAAAATCATTGGGAAAGTCATTGCCACCTGGTGAAGCCTTGAGGTCTGTGGAGTAAGGCAAGGTTTCTGGATTGGCAAATTTATCTAGCAGATAATCTGGCTCTTGTTTGAAGGTCAATGGAAGATCAGGAGTGAGATCGAAGCTTCCTTTACTAGCTTTGGTTGGATCAACATTTGCAAGATATTCGAGGTCGACGTAGTCTTCAAGTGAATCTGTATATTCGTTCGGTGGAAGAGTATAACCAGTTGCACCAAGCTCTGAGAGGTCATCATATGAGCTACGTATCTGTCTTGACGACTGTGTACTAAAACTTGAGGTGGAGAGGGGTGAATAGACCTCATCGGCTGAACTGTACCCACTTTCGCTGTCAAGATGATTTCTTGTAACCTGGGTATCGCCCAGAATCATGGCCACACCACTGTTATTGAATTGAGCGTTAGTTGACCAGTCCAAATACTGTGATAAAGGATCATGATATCCAGAAGAAGCTATGTCCTGCTTTGTTGGGATAAAGTTGAAGTTGTTCCCAAAATTCGTTCCATACGGTGCTGTCCCACTGAACGCCAGTCCTGTCAGATTGTAAGGATTTGTAATGGCCGAAATGGCTGGATTGACAGCATCTTGTTCAAGTTTTAGAGCACCTTGAAGATCTGGACGAAGTAAAGAGAATAGAAGAGCAAGGTACGCGTAATTTTCTGGAGACGCAAATCTTCGTTCAGCCACCATTGTCTTGTAAGATCGGTCGATGAATGGAATAAGAACAACGTGCTTCTTTTGATAGTCTTTAAAATATTGAACGCTGTTTGGATGGTCGAATTCTGTTTACTTCAATGACGTCTTAGATCACGAGCTTCAGAGTAAAACAGTGCTTGTAAAAATACCGAATCTCTCGAACAGAAATAATAGTATGTCGTTTCTCAGCATTCAAATGCCACAGTGACTCAGCGAATCCTTTTTATACTGCACCTGATTTTTATTTTGAAACCATTACGTCTGAATTCATTATCTAAAAATCAACCAATCAAAAGAGGCGTTATAAAAGAGATTTATTTTTATGCTGTATGTGATTGGTTAATTTCCATTGACGTCATTACACTTGGGCTAAAAACACGCAAACGATGTCATGCAATAAGTGTCTACAGTCATTGCTTAAAGCGGTTATCAATAAAAATCCAAAATGGCGTCCGGCGGAGCAGGAGCAAATCAAGAAAGACTCCTCAAAGAAGCTGCAAAACAAATCCAAAGAGCGAGAAGACCAATCAATTACAAAAGAAAAAACTTTTTTGTTTTTGCTGGACTCCTGACGTCAGTCTGTGGTATATGTATCCTTAAAAACTTACTTTGATAAGTTTGTTATGTAACACGTGCATGTTTTTAAGCTTAACTTATAAAGTTGAGCTTACTTAAGTTAATATTGCAGAGATATAAGAGTGTAGGTTTTTATTATTATCGTGAAACATTTCAGCAATTGACTATAGTTTGGTATACAAAAAAGGACTTCAATGGTCACTTAATAAGATTAGTATTTCCAAGTTTTAAGACAAATGAGAAAATTATCAGTGCTGGCAGTTGCAACAGTATGTTACAGTCTGTATGCACACTGGTAATGATGCAAGGATTAAGGGGACTCCCGTTTGAATGTGTCTACTAGTACCAGTAGGGAGGTTTACATACCAATAGAAAATGACAAGACTTGTTTAAACAGGTCAAACATGTTGGGCCAACACAACCCAACATTGTTAGTCCCACCAAAGGTGTTCTGAAGGACCTAATGCACTAGTCAATTGAAATCCCCGTCCCCAACTCCCAGGGCTAGCGGGGCACTGAACGGGGACGTGACGCATTTTTAACGTACTTTTAACAGCAAGATTGCCCCGAGGGGTTGGGATTTTGATGAATTGTTTTCGAAGTGGGGCAAAGAGCAGGGATTTTAATGCTTGTTTGAACATGTATGAGGCTGGGAACTAGAGGTTGACCATCTTGAGAAATACCCTGACACCGTCAGATGAAGTTTCTCTTCTGTCAAACTTCTCATCCAACATTCCTTTTGTTCTCGTGAATGGTCTGTATCATGTTTGATTTGTTTGAAGGCTTCTTCCAGCCATGTTGCAACACAAGAATGCGTTACTTTCGCTTAAATTAATGTACTGTTCAAAATTCTAATTGTTTATTCACATGCTATGATAGATAGATAGATCTGAAAAAGGTAAAACTCAAGTCGACCTAGCCTACAGCTAGCCCGACTAATGATGATTAAAATGTAAAGCAAATCTTATTGGTGTGGTTTCATTGTTTTCCTTAACAATTTTATAGATTTTTACTCCATGTATTCAACACAACAAGAGAAAATAGACTTTGAGAAGTAGCAAGAACGCAAAAAGCGAGATCCAAGAAACACAATACCCTCACAGCAAGACAAAGACCTTACTTTGTTATGAAGGAGAAAAATCTAAAAAGAACATCAACTAAAAGGAAATCAAACGTTTATTGTACATAGATGTTCAGTGTGAAATTACAATTTTCCATGCACTTAATAAATCCTATAAAGTAAATCACCACCTGTCAACAACTTCTTTGAAATTTAATGAAATTATTAACTCTTCTTCACAAAGCTTTTTTTTACAAATTTTAACTCAAAGAGTGCAAAGATTATTAATAATACTGCTAAGCACTATAGTCATTTTTACTTGACCATGTAACCACTATTTCACTAGCAGCTATTTAGTTAGTATATATTGGATGTCAAGAACAAGTGAAAACAATAGATTCAATGTGATATCTACATTAGTCAAATGAAAATGTCTAAAGATCATGGTTTTGTACATGGTAATTATGATCAAATTAACAAAGTATGGCATCAAAGCAAGCACATAAATTGTACAACATCAATTTGCATTAAAGTGCCTATGACGCCTGACAAAAAAATTTCTGATTCTCTGTGAGCTGATTCTAATGGTGAAATATTCCTGCATTTCAGTGCTGTGTCTTTGCTTTCAATATCTCTATTATTTACATCAACACAGTTTGTAGCTAATGTACTTCAAGTGGCCCATACTACATTTTGTATCATGTGCATAATATACTGCCATAAAGWGATACCCATCATAAGATCAGATTAAAGGAAATAATCTATTTATTATTAACACTTTGCCCTTTTACAGCCAGTCAGTGGTTTTATTGTAAAACAATCAAATAATTTAGAAGTAACACAATTATATGCTTTAAAACCATTAATAAATTGTTACTGTGAATAAAGATCTTACAGTAGTTACAATGTTCAGCTAACCTAATACAAACAATAACTAGACACTAAACACACACCTGTACATGTATGTAAGCCATATAATATTGCAGGAAAAAATTAGCTTAACAGTAATGAAACATTTGAGTGTATCATTCAATGCAATAGTTTGGATGCACAACTAAGAATGGATCATCATCTTCCTTGGTCTTGCCATCTTCAGATTCCCTTAGTGCAAGAATAATTTTGTCCTTCACAAAAAAAGATAAATTAGAAATAAGCACTATTTAGTACTGACTAATTACTGCACATGTAGTAAAGTCTTGATGTAGAAGCAGAAGAAACTTGTAAGGGAATTGAAAAGTCTAACTGCTGTACATTTCTTTTATACTTCAAAATTTTATTCGACAGATGAAAAGTTTTTCTTGATTATATCCGACATCTTTGGCTTTCAAAATAATACAAGTACTAAACAGAAGCCACATATTAGCATTTTATGAAGAAATATCCTTTAAAAAATGGAGAAAATTACTGGTAGAATATTTTTGATTTTGATTCTAATGGCAATTTTGAATCAGAACTTCGACTACCAAATATGGTAATCAAAAAATTATGTTTATCAATTTGGATATTTCTGAGCACTGCACAATGCTTCACATTTCATTATGAGTTTCTGGAAGCAGTCATGAAATGGCATTCCACCATTGTCATCAGAGTTGGAGTCTGCTGAACAAGTCTACAATATAATCTGAAAATAATATCTATCAAAATGGCAACTTGTAAAATCATTAACTCACATGCTCAATAAGTCTGTCCAAGACTTTGTCAGTCAAAATCTTCTTCTGACTCAATTCTTCCTCACTTTCAATCTCGCTTTCAATTTCTTTCAGATACCAATTTACAACATCACTTCTACGGATATTTTCTAATTGAAGAAACATCAGAATTAGAAATGTAGTACTTTCTAAGAGTTACATTAACTCACATACCTGCTTCAGCTTTCTCTTCATGTTGTTTTATAAAGTGTACTATCAGATTAGCAATGGCCTTGTATTTATCAAAGGAGAGTCTTATATGGGTTGTATGTGAAGCAGAAGTAGCTGGTTCTTTGGCGTCAGTCTCCATATCTATATAAATGTTAATTGTTAAATTGTTTTGTTCTACATGACCTTGACTTCTGGAACACAAGATTTTTTTAATTATAAGTGTACCTTCATTTTCTTCATTTTGTTCTTCATCTTCTTCATCAAACTGTATATCGGGTGTTTCTACACGGATGATTGATTTATTAAGGAGTCGGAAGGATTCTTTGACATGTTTTGGCTGAACCTGTAATTATAATTCCACAATTGCAGTTTGATAAGTTGATACATTTGTTATTATGCAGGCATTCTTCCTTGCATGCATAACATAAAAGTGGTCAAACTAGAGTCCACTAGTCATGGTAGCAATTTTACCTGATCTTGGCAATAAAGTCTAGCCATTGCTTCAGACAGACGAATCATACTTTCAAGTTGTCTTACAGTAATTCTCCATGCTGATCGCGCAGTGCCTGAAGAAAATAAAAAAGTCAGTTATATTCTTTTTTATTCTTTTTCTTTTATGTGTCTGCCATCTCTTCATTGAGAAGAACTTTGGCAATAATCTTTTATACATGTACATGCAGTTCCAGTGACGATCAGTTAAGGTTATAAGTTAAGACTTTTACATTGAGGTGGGAAGGTGACCTTGCCAGGGGCGGATCCAGGGGAGGTGCTTTGGGTGCAAACGCATCCCCCTTTTTTGACGACGTATTTTTTTAAATATCGGCATAAACATGTGTCTGCCACTATGCTGCCTAATAATCTATTTGAGTAGTGTAGTCAAAGATACGTTGCAACAAAAGTCGATTTGCTTCCGTCAAATTGTGCATAATTTTCTTGCTCTAGACAATAATGATCAGTTTCATATATTACTGACAAAAGCACCCCCCCTCCCCCCTTATAAAATGCTGGATCTGCCCTTGCTTGCAATGATAGATTCAGTGAATAATCCAGTTTCGAATTCTCCAATGCTCTGTGTTAGCCTCATTTGTGCGCAAAATATTCCTAATATTGTCTTAATGTCTTCATGTCATTTTTACGTCAAAACCGCACAGTTAGCCAGACAACAAAATCACACAGTTAGCCAAACACTTTTTCGTCGAAATACATAAGTTAAACAACTATTTTTTCGTCTAAGTTGAACTGTTAGCTAGGCACTTTGCCGTCTAAATTGACCAAAAACCAGACACCTTTCTAAGTCGGACAGTTGGTCAGACAAGTCATCTTATTAAGTCCGTTAGGTAGACACTTTAACGTCTGAGTCCATTAGGAAACCAGACAATGTCGTCGTCTAAGTCAAAGAGTCAACATTGCCGTCTAAGTCATTCAGGCGGCCATGACATGAAGGGGTGGATGCGAAAACGGCCTAAGTGACGATTTAGGGTATTTTTGAAATTTTCGAAAAATTAAAAAAACATCATTCCAATCGCTTATTTTAAGTCTAAATAAYCTTATTTAGTACTTATTTCTCCTGATTTCTTTCCAAAAAGGGCAAAAAAGGACCCATAGTTACCGACTTCTTTGGCTTGACAACTGATCACTAGACCGTAAAATATCCTAGATTTGCATATTCGCGCTAAACTCATGACTTTGACAGTTGGTTTGTCGGTTTGTTTTGRTTCGAAGCTGTGCTGCAAGAAGTCGAGAAATGMGTTKTTTCGCGGTTTTYTCAGCCTTTTTGCCTTTAGTCACTACTCTACGGACATCATTAAGTTTGTAGGTAGCGAAGGAGCTTACTTGCTGAAAGAATCCAGCTTGGTGTGTGACTTTTTAAGCGTTTTTGATTCCGCGGTTCATTCGATTAACTCGGACAGTCGCTTGAAGAGAATCACTTAAAAGACCGTCTAAAGGCAAATCCTTGGAGCTGCCACGGTAATTTTTGGATGTTTTGGCTATTGAGGAACAACAGCGACTTGAAATTTTGGCAGATTTCCGAGAAGGCTGTAGACTTTAAATAAATTTCTATTTCAGATTGGACGGAATCGTTGCTCACGRCRTGTGTAGATTTTTCCCAGAATTCATTGCGTGCAAAAATCCGGTTAAAAGACGTGTTCTGAATCAGTGTCCAAAGAGAAAGCCGTAGCATGAGATCTTTATGGAAAATGTGAAAAATAAAACGCTTAAATGACAGAAGTAGGACTAAAATTGTGTACCAACAGTCATTCGCTTCTTGAAATCTAGAATTTTGTAGGAAAAAAAGACAAGGAAATAGTGCTTTTTAGTCACTGTAGGCGAGAATTAGAGTCAAAACTGCCCTTGTTTTCGGTTAATTTTTGTGACTTCAACTGTTGCTTAACTGGCTTTTCAATGTCAAACTGAGTAGCGCAGTCATCCATGCTGTTTAAGTGATTTTATACAAACTTCAAAGTGTGCATTACGACTTCAACACGGACGGCAAAGTGTGTAATTCATTGTTATCGCTTTGAAAATTCTTTATCGACGTAAAAAAGGCTGTTAAGATGCTCTTATTGTTTCAAATACGAATAAAGACAGCTCTGGAATTCATGTTATCCTAGATTACAATCACAGTTCTCGTGAAAAACACCAAACACGAACATGAATCACACTTCAAAACAAAGTAGCGGTCGGCCAAACAACAAATACCTCGCATACCATCAAATCGCTTCGAACGTCTCTACAAAAGCTTAAAATCAATATAATCATGTGTTGTATTCACAAAAACAACATTTTTTCTTAGTAGAATTCATTCTATATATGGAAAACATTACTTAGAAACTTATAATTTATTCTAAACCCGAGTGAACTCGGGTTTAGAATAAATTACACACTTTGTCCGTCATGAAGTCGTCATGTGGACTCGGGGGGGTAGGGGGGGGGG